TTCTTCTCTTTATCTGCAATTTGAAAATGATATGCCTTCTTGTAGTTTTGTGTTTGGTGTTCTCTGAGATTTGTTTTGGTGTCTTAGTCTGTTCTAAGACTGTGACAGAACCTATAAACTGAGTGTCCTACAAACAAGACAGTTCCAAGTCAAGTAGTTATCTTCAGTGTAGTTGTGGAGGTCGCAGCTCCCAGGCCCATGTGGGAATCAAACCGTCAACTTTGGTGTTGAGCCTGTGCTCTAACCACCTGAGCTAACCGGCCACCCACGTTAAAGTATTTCTGATCTCTAGCATTTTTTTTCTTAGAATTTATCTCTCGTTACATCTGTTCCTGCATGTAATTCATGTTACAGCCCTTAGCACATTAAATGTAATTGTTTTAAGCTCCCAGTCTTTTATTCCAACATCTCTGCAATATCTGAGTCTGAATCGAATACTTATTCTTCAAACTGGTTTTTGCCTTTTAATATTTTGACAGCTGGACATGATGTATTAGGTAAACTGAATTACTGTACACAGGCCTTCAGAGATGTGACAGTAAGGTATGGGCAGAGGGGGAAGTGGTAATATAGTCCTATGAGTAGGTCTGTGTACCTATTGCCTTCTCACTGTAAACTTGACTTTAGTACAGAATGCTCTGGTGAATTTCAGGGGTTCCTTTTCCCCTCCCCCTGACAGAAGCACAAGGGGACTTCTCTCCAACATTCACTGTCAGCAATTAGTTGAGCCCTTGGAGGCAAAGCTCACAAACACGAGGATCCTGACTGGGTCCCCCCGGAGTTTTTGCCTCAGACATACCCACACTGGGCCCCCAGGAATTACTCAATTACAGTTTAGGTTTTCTTATCCTGGCAGTGGTCCTTTCAGATTTTTGCTGGTGGGTTTCTGCTCCAGTTAAGTTCGATTTTTGTCTCTCCAATTTTGGGAGCATAAGTCTGCCCTTTGAGCTCACCTCTCAAAAGATTTAAAAAGAGCTGTCTGTTCCCATCCCAATAAAAATCTTTTTAAAAAAAAAAGCTGTTGAATTTTTAGTTTGTTCAGCTTTTTACTTGTTAGGATTGGAATAGTGACTTCCAAGTTCCTTACATGCCAGACTGGAAATCAGAAGTCATTTGATTAACTTTTTCATATGAACCTGATAACCTTTTTAGCTTTAATAAAAAATACGCCTATTGAGAAAATCAAACATAATCAAGGAGACTGTAAGCCTCTGTGGTTTCAGTAAACTGTTAAAAACTTTGCTTACATTTTAAAACAAATTGTATTGAATTACAAAGGTCAAGCAGACAGTAAGCAAAATAAACATTAGGGAATTGGTTGTGAGCCTCAGAAATTCTGTAGTGAGGCACTCAGTTCCAAGTTGTCTCCATTGTGCGTTTCTCTTCTCTTCCTCCAATGGCTTCTTGTTGGGGCTCCTACTCTAGTTTACTAAAGCTGAGGACGCTCCTTGCTTCTAGTATTCAAAAGTTGCAAAGTAAGGTTGGAGAGACCTGGTGAGTTGGCTTAAATGCAAGAGGGAGCCATTGAAGGACTTTGAAGGAGTGATGTGATCTGATTTACTGAAGATATTCAAGTTCACTGCTAAATGGAGAATGGATTGGAGGGGATATGAACTGAGAAGAGATGGCTACCAATTCGGCATCACAAAATTACGAGTATTTTTATCAATGATTTTTTTTCCCTTTTTTTAGCTGAGCCATCCTGCCAGCTTGGCAGCAGCTCAGCTCGGGCCAGGCATCGAACCGCTGTTGCTCAGAGCTCATCTTGAGCAAGCGCTTAACTGAGCCACTCGGCCGGCCCTCAATGAAGATTCTTGATTGTAAAAAATAAAACAATTCCAGTTGATTTAAGCAGACAAGTTTAAGAATCACATTTGGTGGTTTGCAGGCTATAGGAAGGAGAAACCAGGCTTGGAAGTTTAATAGCCCAAGTTCAGTGAGGTTGCTACTGCCAAACCCTGGGCACCACACCACACCACTGATATCAACACAACTAATCTGGCCACCAGAGCTATGAACCTCCCCCATATCTCAAGCCTCACCCCCATCCAACATGTGGCTTATCCACTAAATAAATTTTCTAGTCACTACTTTGTGACTAGTTTGGATGCATCTGACCAAGCCTAGACCACGTGCATATATGCTCTAGATGCAAAGGCCAAGTAAACATGTATGGTGTTGTTGTGTTCTGACTTCCATCAACTGTGAGTACATATTAAACAAAGGCAGGTCTGCATGCTGGGAAACTGAAAAAGAATGGACATACCCAATGCCATCATGGAAAACTTGGTGTGGTAGATCATTGACCCCTTCTGTATCTATGCCCTTTGCCATGTAGTCTATTTCCTCATCCCTTGCCTTTTCTCTTGGCTGTATGACTTGCATTGCTTATGGGAAGTTAACAGATGTAATGAGGCTTGAATTATATACTTGTCTTGTTTCTGCCATCATGTTGAGTAAATGTGCAGGGCTGCCCACTCTTCCGAGCCTAAGGCACATGGAGCCAACTCACACAACAGTGTGAAGCCAACCTGTCTGCCACTGCAGTCTAGCTGAGGCAACTCCAGCTGTCTTGCAGACAAGAGCCTGGTCGAGAAGAGGTCAATAGTTTGTTTTTATGGCTGATTATGCATTAGTAGCTGACCAGATACACTTGCAGATATTGATGAGTTCCACAAAGGTGATTAAAAGATTGGCATATAAGAAAGCTTTAATGGGCCGGCCGAGTGGCTCAGTTGGTTAAGAGCTCGCTCAAGAGTTTGAGCTCTGAGCAACAGCGGTTCGAGTCCAGCCCGAGCTGAGCAGCCGCTGCTGCCAACAGGTGGCAGGATGGCTCAGCTAAAAAAAAAAAAAAAAAAAAAAGTAAGAAAGCTTTAATTATGGGAGCAAGGAATGGTCCCTTTGAGTGTGACCATTTAGCCTCCATATGCATGGTTTTCAAAATTCTTTTATGTAGAATTTTGGAACCAGATGCCACAGCCAGCACAGCGCATGAACCCAGCTCTTCCTACCCCGAATAGGAAAGGGGTCTCATCATTCTACAGCCGTTTCAACCTGGCCAAGTTCCAAATTTTCTTCAAGGTCTGCTGCTTCTAACACCCTCTTGGTAGCCATCTATAATTTACAAAAGCACGTTTGAAAACATGACCAGAAACATAGCAGTATTGCAGTCATCTCATCCAAGCAGCTTTGCCCAGGGCCCTCCCTAAAGGTCTCATAGTACATTCGTAACTCTCTTAATAGATCTTCCATACTAGAATGTGATTACCTATATACATGACTGTCATCACTAGATTTGAGAACTCATTACCACTGCTCGGCACTCAGTAGCCAAGCCTTTTATGAAACTTTCACTCTTTTGCTCACACTACCAATCTCCCCCCACCCCAATCACGAGTAAAAGCCAACTTTTGTCTATAAAATTATAAAGGATATGGCCCCGTTTACCTGACTGATCTTACATCTAACTCTTTTTTACTCACTGGCCTCCCTGGCGGTGCCTTGGATTTTAACAAGGCAACTCCCCCCCCCCCATCTAGAATATTCCTTCCCCAATATCCATATGGCTCACCCTTACCTTTTCAGTCTTTTATTCAAATGTCATATATTACAGCCTTCCCTGACCAGCTTATTTAAAATACATTTACCACCTTATTTTTCTCATCTCCTTAGTACTTGGTCCACTGTGGTCTTCCTTGGGCTTAATCCAACAGCTCATATATGGTAAATACATCAATGCAAGCTGAATAGTTAAAACAGATGGTATCTGCATTAATTGCTTAGAGCTCTAATGAAATAATAAAATTTAGTTTTCCTATGAAATGCCAAAATCTATGGCATAATCCCATCATCACATCTTAGTGGGGGAGTCAAGCAGCAGTTGAATGGAATGGACAGTGGAAGGCCATTTGTGCTCTATAACCATGACTTGTCTTGGGATGCACTGAAAGAATTACACCATGCTCCAAAGGCACAAGCGAAGACATCATAACTATTCTATCAGATAATCCAGATTTTCTAAAATTTGACCCAAGAGCTTTTACCTATCAAATTTGAAGATTCTATGACTATACATAATTGTGGTGAGACTAAAGGTTGAGGCACTTTCATCTTCGGTGGAAGGGTAAATTAGTAGGGTCCTTCTAGAAAATAAGTGATAAATACTGGTGCATTCATGAGCCTTAAAAATGTTCATACACTTCATGACTTCAAACAGAAGTTAACGTGAAGGTTACACACTATTTTTGGTAATAAGAAACCAGCACAAGCTAGTTTGGTAACTTCTAAATCTTTTTAGTTATTCTCATAGGCATTTTCTAAAATATTTTAAAAGCATGTTCATGATATGAAAATAGCAAGAATTCAAAGTGTATGTATACATATCCCTGAGCAGTCAAGTTGTGTGGTACAGGTATTAGCGTAAGAAAGCAATCCAGAACCAAAGGCTTCCAAAAATTGTCATCTAGTTGGGACCCTCATTTCCTTCTTAATGCTTTCACAAATCCCGAGTATAATAGATTTTAACCAACTCAGCAATCCTCCATATCAACTTTGCATTTGGTTTCAGTAAAACTAACCCTGCAACTATAAGCTATACTGGTAGTATTGGCATATAAAATTCCTGGGTTCTTTTGCTTTCAGGCAATTATTTCAAGACTAATTAAATTTATCCTATCGCTAAATTATCTCAATTCTCTCCCATGTTTCTGACATTCTTTGTCCATTTAAGTTCACCTGTGACAGCAGTTAACCCAAGGGACTACGACTACAAAGCTTCTCTTCATGGAACCAGATGCCACAGGCAGCACAGCGCATGAACCTACTACCTGCTCTTCCTACCCCGAATAGGAAAGGGGTCTCATCATTCTACAGCCGTTTCAACCTGGCCAAGTTCCAAATTTTCTTCAAGGTCTGCTGCTTCTAACACCCTCTTGGTAGCAATCTGTAATGAGTGAAATTTCTTCCAGATCCAAAAGTTAGGAAATTCAACTGACACTAGCTTTAAAATAAACTTTTTATTGACAAGCTAATGGTGACTTACATGCATTAGGTTAGTTGGAAGCCAACATCTTCTGTGACGCATTAATTAGGCCTGGTTGTTTTTTTTCCAAAGTTGTGCTTATATCCTGGGCTAATTAGAGGGCTGGGAAATCTTTAATGCACGAAGAGGCGGGTCTTTGGCTAGGGCATAGGGCAGCTCAGTCAGTGAGACCTATGACAGATATCACTGCTCCCATCCCCACTACAGTGGTGCTGGCTGACCCTTTCTGTAAGCAAGACACATGTAAGCAGTACCATGGTTCCTTCATATACACTCCATCACTAAAAAACTAGGCTTCTCAACCTTTAATCTATCTCTTATAATCCAACTCCTTTTGGACCACATTGTAAAACTCAACTTGTATAACCATGTTGAGGGACCAATTCTTATTCCAAAACTGTTTGAGAATATATTTGAAAAACAGGAATGTAGTTCCAGATGCTTACTGGAAACACAAACATGCAGGTATAGAATTTTATGTATATATAACAGCTCCCCAAAATATGAGGCATACATGAGACACTACATCCAGTAAATTTGACAAGACCTTGCAAACGCTGTCTATGCTACATTACCAATATTTTCGATCATCCAGTTACCCAGATTAGAGGGAGAATGGTATCATAATTCAGAGTACTAACTGTGGACTGAGACCGCCCAGGTTCTGATCTTGGCATTGCTCCTTTAGTAGCTACTGTTTAAGGTAAATAACTACATTATGATTGCTACAGACTTAAATGAGTATTTGTGAAGTGCTTACTAAATATCTAAGTACAGACAAACCTTGTTTTGTGTTTTTGCAGATACCGTGTATTCACCACTATTGACAAGACCCACCACCAGCAAAAAGATAAGGACTTGAAGGCTCAGATGGTTAGACTTCTGTTAAGCAATAAAGTATTTTAAAATTAAGGTTATATAATTTTTAAAGAAAATGCTATTGCATAACTTTGTAATAGACTATATAGTATAAACATAACTTATAATGCAGTGGGAAATAAAAATTTATGTGACTCAGTTGACTGTGATAGTCTGGAACCAAACATGCAATATCTGAGATATGTCTGCACTATAAAGGCCAGTAGGCCAACAAAATTAAATCACCTGCCCGTAGCAATTTCCCTAGAATTGGCCATGAAAAATAACTGAAATTCAGAGGAAACAATACTGAGAACATGCATCTCAGGCACCATTAGGGCAAGTGTGAAGAGTGGAGTTATTTAATACAATGTCATCCCCAAATGGAGATGATCACTATAATACCTAGTAGTTACTAACTCCAGGAATATATGTTTTTTAAACCAGCACAAAGAATATACTCAGTCCAAAGGGTACTGCACAAGGGACTAAAAACTATAAAATAACTCTTAATTATAAAGTAAGGTTAAAATAAACAAAACCTTCTTTGTAAACTGAGTTGTACCAGCCTTTTACTCTTTTCATTTGCGTTTATTTAACACAGTTCTCAAAACATTTGAGCGAAATTGGGCCTCCTCTGGTAAGCAAAGGACCTGAAAATAATATTTAAAAAATGAACAGGCAGTCTTCAGTTCACCCACAACACAGTAGTGTTCCCTTCTTTTTCCCCAAACTCTGAAGCACCCAGTTTTTTCATAGTCTAAAAGCTAGAATGAGAGTACATTTATGGTGGAATGTAATGTCATTTGCTGATAATCAGTTGAAATACCATTATCCCCTTATAACAGCTTTAAGGTATAGCCTTTTTAAGGCTTACATTGTGTTAACTCTTTTCTTACTCCCTGCTATAATACAGATTACATAAAGGCTGAAAAATCCACAATTATATAAGCATTAAGCATTTGCTGTATTGAAAGATCTTTAGTTCTAATACTAGCAGTACTGAGTTACAGAGCATAATTTTTTAACACGTAATTGCAAGTATATTAAGTATGGTATGTTTCATGGACTGGAGGAAAACGGGCATTTTTGTTTTGAAATTTACTACTAACAACCTAATCTGAATAGTTCTGCTAACCACTGATGTTAGAAAGAAAGTAAAAATCAAACTTTATTGTTGCTTTTTGCCATTTGGTAGCATTTTACACACAGGCTTCGATCTTCAGAATACCCTGGATTCAGTAGAAAAACCTTTTAAATGAAGTTTTGTACAATAGAAACTTCTCAGCAGTCAAAATTTAGACTGTAAAAAAATACATGCAAAACATACTTTTCTGAAAACACTTAACTTTGAACAAAGCACCGAACTACACAAATGCAGAATGAGAACAGCATTTCAACTCCACCAAAAGTAGTCATCATAAAAGGTGTAAAAGTCACCTAACTTCACTAGGCACTGTTCACTTTTTAAACAGGAGACAATAAAAAATATTGTCCACAAACAATATCCCAACTCTAGGGCAGGTTTCAGAAAGTCAACTTCATGCTTTAATAGCGACCTGGGAAGAAAAAAAGTATAAATATGCATCAATACTGAGAGAACTGATTTCAAGTATACTTTAAATGGTGAGAATTTTAGACTGTTCTGACATTAGAGTATTCTTATGTACCAGATTTTCTTCTGTGAAAATAGAGGAAGACCTTCACATAAGAGTTACACTAGAAATGAGAGAACCAAGTGAAACAATATAAATAGTTGGGAAGTATAACTCAATCTAAGAGCTAAGGTTTTAAGTTACACAGATGTTCCCAAGCTATACAAAAATTGCAAGGAGTCCTTATAAAGAAAAGCTACAAATGGAGACAATGTACTATGCATTTGCTATTTTAATTAGCAACAAGAATAAGATTCCAAGGGTTGTTTTCATACACTTTCTGGAACCCTACACATAAAATGGGGGGCCTGTATGTATATAAACATATAATGTAGATAAAACTACTTAAGAACCAACCCCTTTTCTGCAAAAGAAATAGTTACTCTGCTATGGTTTGGTAAGCCAGGGCAAGCCATACTATTATAATATATAAATTAAATCACATCAAGACAAAAACTTACGAGGTGAGTATGATCGAGATCTGGAACGTGATCTGTATCCTCCACGACTATAGTAAGGAGAAGGTGACCGCCTTCTGTAAACAAAGTCAAGATCGTCTAAGGCTCCACAGATCACAATTAGACTAAACGACACATAAAGATTACACACAACCCCCTTATCAGTTTCTAAAACTAGAAGGCCATCACTGACCATGAAAAACGTTATTAGTCACGGGATTTCAAGGTCTGTTTTAGTCCTGAGAATGAAATACAGTATAGGCCCAGTACCAAATAATCACTCAAACTATCAAGGTCAAAATACTCTGCTATATTTATTTCATCAATTGTTCATCTAACCCATTTTAAATTCTATTAAAATATTAAACAAAAAATATTCTTTTCTACTAATTCTAACCACACCCTCATGAACACCCAAAACAAATTTCACTAGTGCAAAGTGGTTTCATTTTGTTTGACTGACTTTTGAGTGTTCACTGCTTATTCTGATGCTCATTAAAAAAACAAGAAGGGCCAGCCAAGTGGCATGATGGTTAAGAACTGGCTTGGGACGCCAAAGGGCCCTGGTTTGGATCCCACATATGAGGGCCGGTGACACTGCCCTCCACAGCTAAGATACTGAACAACAGCTCAACCTGGAGCTGGGCTGCCGTGAGTCACTGGCGACAGCGTAGGCTGCAGCCACTGTTGCAGTGGGTTGCCATGGGCTACCGTGTGCAGCCAGTGTGAGCAGCCAACAGCCGCAGTGAGTGGCCGTCCAGAAGCCGGCGACTGATCTGCCTCGCCTGGGAAGAGCACAATGATGGTGCC